ATCCACAAAATGCATGGCCAGCAGAGATAGGTACGTGGCCCATTTGAGGAAACATCAGCGTGGATTAATGCTTCACAGCCATTTCCTTTCAAGTCATCCTCCCTGGCAGCAGTGCGAGAAGGATGGTGCGCACGACCCACGTTCAACGCCAGAACTTTCTATTTTGGTTTTAGGACATATTCTAAACTTGAGTCACAATTTCTATATTTATATATATGTGCATGGATGTATGTATATGATGTTTGGCATTAGGCGTGATCCTCATCCAAAGTCAGCTTTTGTGATAAAAAGACAAGGAGGAGGAGGTGTCTGCCACATTTGGCAGCCAAATGCAGGATAGGCGATTGGTTTTGCCGTTTCGAGACTATGGTTTAGGAGCGTTGTCAGAACAATTACTCACTCTTGGGCTAGCTAGAAAATGAACCCAAACATTTGAATTCCTGAGCCTTAGTTTCCCGATTGGATTCAGGGATAGGAAGCGAAAGCTGTGCTGCCAGCCCAAACCAGCCCAGCCCAATCTTACAATCCGTCAACCAGCTTTGATCCACACAAACAAAAAACCGCGGAAACCGAAAAACACAAGTGTCTCAACTCGACTCATCCAGCCTCTATTGCCACTTGTTGCAATTTTGCTCAAATTTGCTTCATTATTAAGGCATATGAAATTAATGTAAATGAGGCTTTATCTCAATAAAAAAAAATCTTGATATCTTGAAATAGTCTTAAATTCAAATCTTATTAAATATGAATCTCATTTATTAATTTTTTATATTATTAGAAGAATAGAATTTGAACCCAACTCATGGAATTAATTAAAGAAGACATAACCTTTTTTTTTTTGGATCGAATAACTAAATACCTACTAGATGCACCATGCATGTTAAAAATTAGTTAATTATAATTTTTATTAGTACATGCAAATTAGTTGTTTGCATGTGTAATGCAAACTAATTAATCCAAGTGGGGTTTTATTTGTTTTTTTTTAATTTATATATATATATATAGAAAATGATGGTCTCTCATTTCATAAAAAATTAATGGCCCTCCTTTTTTTAGGATTGGAATATGAAACTTTGATTCAGCTGCTGGGATATAAGTTGAAAGAGAGATCCTACTTGCATTTGAGAAGAGTCCTTCGGAGCTCAAAAAGGGCTGGTATTCAACGGAAGCTGCTGGTCCCATGTCAACAAATTTGCAATCAAAGGTTTTACCCTTAACCGACACACAGAAAAGCCCTTTAACCTTGTGAAAGTAAACTTAATTACCTTCCCAAGAATCATTACGGTGACCTTGACCACTGCATTTCCCTCTGTTCCCTGTAAACTCAGGAACAAGGCAAAGACCGCGTCATACCCTTAATACCACTGCTGACCTCCGCTTGACTATTTGCAGGAACCCTATAATTGGATGACAACCAGGTATCTATTTTGTAAAGACTTCAGTTTTTTATAATATTAGCATCATATATATTAATTAAATGGATTAAATAAAAATACATTATATATATTTATATTTTGTTGTTGAGAATGATCAAACTAATTAAAAGCTTATTGTATAGAAGTTGTACGTAGTTATGCATGCTTATCAATTGGATTATGTTTGGATCACTTTAATACCAAAAGAATGAACTGTTTGGGTTTGTGATCGGGTGCTTACATAGCTAAACAAAGATGCCATATTGAAAGAATTGAGGAGGTTGAACTTAAAAGAGAAACGTTCAACTCAAGTACTCCATGGCCCCCGAACGCTTATTTTCAACATTTAAAGTGGCTTTCGTGCCTTTGGAACCGACCACAAAAGTAGAAGTTTTACCTTTGAAAAGGAAAACTAATCTCACTAGCTATGGCCTATGGTCTACATCTCATTAAGGCAAAGCCATTAAAAGGTTAAAGTTTTAAAAGTTACTTTGAAGTTTGAAGTTTGAAGTTGAAAACCACGTTACTTAAATCCCAAAAGGGCATTGGAGATTCATTCATCCAAAGCCTGAGTTCCCTTGACCAATCAATTGGAAGTCTATGACAAATGATGCAGCCTAACATCGAAACAGAGGGTTCCAATGCAGTGTCTTGGTCAAAACAAGAGTGTGACGTGAATTAGTATGAAGAAGCGATATAGAAATAATTTGAATAACCCATATAATATAACTGTAGCCCTTCAAATTTATGTTGTTTTTAAAACACATTTTCATTATTTAGATGGTTTGCTTCATAAATTGGTTTGTATACCACAAATCATATACACTTTGATTGCTGGACAGGGTTGGAACGACATTCAAAAGCATTTAGACAAAATCCATGCATGGAAATGAAGCCATGCAATCAGCATAGCACCTGCCCACAGCTTCTTTTGTTTTGGGTTTGTGGGCCGAGTTGGTGCGGCTACGGTGGCTGTTTAGTCTCTTTTTTTTTTTCTTTTTCAAATATATTTTTCTTATTCGGATTTGAAATTTTTTATATTATTTCCGGGTATTTAACTCAAACCCAATAATTGATTCTTATTTTAAAAAATAAAACAGGGTTCTGGTGCCCTTTCTCAAATTAGAAAAGAAAAGCAAGAAAAAAAAACCTCTCTTCAACCACTCATAATGGCATGAGCTGTAATTTAATAGAAATGCATGGGCTTTCATTGTGCTGCAAAGTTGGTACAACAGGTACTTAAGAATGACCTCATGCCTATTAATTTTGTACAAGGGTACTATTGATAGGTTCCATAGTGATTCGGGATTGAGATATCATCGAAAGGAATAGTGAGGTACTATCTTCACCGGAGAATTTCAAACTAAATAAAAAAAAAGGAAAAATTTATGATTAATTATTATTTACAGGTTTAAAATCTCTTCTGATATTAATTTTTTAATTAATAGATTAAAATATCTATTAATCACATTTTAAAGAGAGCAACCTTCACTTTATTATTTTGTAAACAAAAGAAGGGGGACAGCCCACAGCCCTTGACATGCAAGAAGAGAAGGTGATGGGGATGGGTATAGGAAAAAGTGAAAATGTGAAGCGGGACCTTACTGTTTTGTTAAGAAGGAAGGGTAAGGGCCACCCTATAAGCTGTTTTCTTTCCCTGTTCTCTTATAGACATACGGGGGAGACCATATTGCTTGGGGCAGGGTGGCCATAGAGATTAAAATTGCAAAGAGCCCAAGGCCATGAGCTAAATGACAAAAAGTCCATTTGTTCCTTAGTGTGGAGGCCTCCTTTTGAGTCACAGTCACGGAAAATATTGCCAACAAGTAGCCTTCCAGTAGCCGACAATTGGAATAATTTGTAGTCCAATTTATTTGCGTTGTGGAAACCAAGTTCCATTTTTCGCTGCTCCACCCACCTGTTGATTGATGCTATAGCATTGTATATAGATCCATCAATAACAAACCAATTCCAACTTTACCTCTTCGTGCATTTTTGGCTGATTCAACTCAATGATGACAATGAGTTAAAACGAGAAAGCAAGCTCACATATATATTGAATTCTATTCTACATTGCTAAAGTGAAGGTATGATATCAAAACACCATTTAGTTTATTATGTCCATCTTAAGGTTAATTAGTAATTAATATCACATAAAAAAATTAACTTAGGATATTGAAGCAGCCTAGTCACCCTCGAGATATATGGGTGTGAAAACACTATATATTTTATCTTTAAAAAAGTTACATGCTTTTTATCCACTTTGCTGTACAGTCCTCACTCAAAGTTGGTACATTACTATGCACATGGATTATTGCCCTCCTGGTTGAAGAGCAAAATTATTGCAACCTTACAATTTTTTCTTTCTATTTAGGTCCAGCTCCAACTCCAACTAAAATGTCGATGATATCAAGGTTACCTAAATTAACCGGAGGCTGTCTTTCATCATACTACTATTTTTTTTATTTTTTGTTTTTTTACATTTTCAGCGTCCTCCTGTCACTTATCATTTCCCACCGTTTCTTTCAATTGTATCTGCATTAGTACGTAAGACCTTGGAAGATCACAACTAACATTGTATCCCCTTAAATCATGATGATAAAACTTTTTATTATTATTAACCTTTTTGGCGGGAGAGGTTTAATTATTGTTCATAAACCTATTGGAGGCCAAAGATGAAATTTAAGAAAATGGTATTCGTAATTTTCGAACATTTTGTCTCGTTATCATATGACAGCTACCTTTTCTTCTTTCTTATTTTTTTTTCCTTTTGTGTTTATTGATATTTGTAAATAAATAAATTACGCACAACTACGTTAAAATTGAAAGGTAATCTTCCAAGTAACTTCCTCCTCCTGTTGCCCTTTAACAATATATTACTTGGAAGAATTCTTTCTCTGTTCAAATACTTTAACCCTAAGAAATGCCTCTTACACCAAGATATAATGTTATGGAATTATATATATATATATATATATATCGATGGAGTCAGCTCTTTCTTCCAAATACCATAAAATCAACAGCGTTAATTGAATTAATTTTTATATTGATGAGAAACTTCATAGGAAAAAAAGCAAAAGCCAGGAGGATGAGCACGTGCTAAGGGAGAAGGACGGAAGGAAGGACGGAAGGCGGTAGCTTTCCGTGGTAATTATATAGAGAACAGTGGATCCCATGAATTACCACTCTTCACGGAAGCAACAGTATTACCATTATTATCTTTAGGTAACACAAATGATTTCGATTTAACCACTTGAGCCCACTAATCCCTACATCTTGAAAGCTTCACGCTAACACCTTTTTCCCATTTTCAAATTAATTCCTCATTTTCCTTGACCGTGAATTATCGTACCTTGTTTCATCCCCACATTAACTACTGTCCTTATGTAATTATTTCCATACAAGAATAAAATAGCCTTAATTTCCCTGTAAGATTCTTCGTAGAATTATTACTAAGAAATGCAACAATTTCTTTCCTGCCAAGAAAAGGCCTTTTCTTTTCTTTCCGAAGCAATCCTCACGGCGGAGCGTCCATACACGCGCTATGAACGTCTCGTATAAAAAGGTAGTAAATAAAAAAATTACTCATCAAAAAGGTATAATAACCTTATAAACAATTGTATAATACTGCAATTTATAATGGCTTTATACCACTGATCTCCGCCATTTTCAGGTTTCTAGTGTTATTTTATGTACACTACAGAATGAAAACTAAAAAGAAAGAAAAGAGTTTTATCTAACTGAACCTTACACGTGCATCCAAACTCTCACACGTGCGTTAGTACTCCGTGAAAGAAACATTCCGTCTATGATCCGATGAAGGTGACGGTAACGGTGACGGTGGCATAGACGATGGAGCCTTCAAACTCTGGAAATATTCCCTTATGTCCATTTGTCCGGGCGTTACTTTCTCCGTCAAGTCGCAGTCGTCTCTTGACGGAATAAATGGCGGTCGTAACACTTCACTTAAGAGGTCCCACCTGACCCCTTTAAAGAACGCGTGCTCCTTGATCTCGCGTGCTCCTCTGTGATACCCGAGTCTCTTCATCGGATCCTTTTGTAGTAACCGTCCGATCAAATCCGTCAAAGCGTTTCGTTGTCCCATGAACTCCGGCTTTTTGGCCAAAACGTTTCGAAACGTCTCTTTCCGATTCCTCCCTTTGAAGGGTGTCGTCCCGTAGAGCATCTCGTAGGTTAGAATTCCGAGAGCCCACCAATCGACGGCGAATTCATGTCCATCTCCACGTACTACTTCAGGTGACACGTATTCCTCGGTGCCCACGAACGAGTTGGAACGTTCCCCGTTTGAGAAACTCAGCTTCCGTCGACTCACTGGGCTGACTCGGGCCGATTTCGCTTTCTTCAAAGCTTTGTTATACTTGTTATCAGGTACAACGGGGATCCAACGAATAAAGTTTCGTCGATATTTACGTCGGACCGGAATTTCAGACAAAGAATTCTGATCCTTGGTCTCGTCAGTTAAAATATCTGATAGTTGCCTCCTTTTTAAGTTGCGTGAAAGGTCGAAATCCGTTAAAGTTGCGTGACCTGACTGTTGAATGAGGATATTTTCAGGCTTGAGATCTCGGTAAACGATACCCAGGGAATGCAGGTGCTCGAGAGCGCAGAGGATCTCAGCCAAGTAAAACCGGATAACAGCAGCGGAGAAGACGCGATCATTTTGACGGTAACGGAGGACGTTGAGGTCGGAGCCAGGGCAGTAAGGGATAGCCCAAGCAAGGAACTCGGGGGTTTCGAGACTACCTAAAAGACGAGGAAGAAATGGGTGGTGAAGAGCTGGGTCGGGAGTAGAAAGCCTGGTCAAAACCTCAATTTCCCAACGGGCTCGACGATCAGCGTCATGTTTGGATCTTTGGATGACCTTGAGGGCAAAAGGGAAACGAGCGGTAGGGTCGGCGACTGTGTCGTGGACGAGAAAGACAGTTCCCATGGCTCCTTTGCCAAGGATTTTGATAGCTTTGAGGTTGTCTAAATCTAACTCAGGCGGAAATGGTGGTGAAAATGAAGGATTCTCCATGTGAGAGAGAGAGGGGGGGAGAGAGAAAGAGAAGAAAGAAGAGAGAAGAAGAAAAAGAACGAGAATGTTGGGGGAGAGAAAGATGGTTTTGATGGTTGGGGTTTGGTTTATATAGTTTGTTTTTGGTTTGTAGTAGTCTATCTATATTTCTTTTGGGGTTGGGGGTTGAGGTGAGGTTCTCTCGGTGTGTGTGGAGTGGTACAGGGGTTTTGGCTCCTACGTGGGGTGGATTGAAATACTCCATCCCATTCAAACCTCTCTTCATTTCGCCTTGTTTACCCAAAACAAGAAAATCACAACTTTTTCTCAAAAAGCAAACCCAAAGTTTTGACTCATTACATCAAGTTGCTCCATATTTTCAGTACATCGCATTTGCATTTTTATCTATTATATTATTGTGACGCTTAGACCTAACATTCTCATTAAACTCACTTTATCACCTTTTTTATTTTTTATTAATAGCAAATTCTCGTCATGTTCAATTCTTTAGAAAACATAGTATCTATATATATATATATATATATAACAATTTATTAGAATAAATTAAAGAGAATTTTGACGTATTATTTTAAAAACTCTTTAATTATCTAAATAAATGTAAATAAATTTTTATTTTTTTATTTTTATTTTGAATCTAATAAATTTATGATTAATAATTAATTAATTATTATTAATCAAAATACCACTTATCATTTTGTGTCACGTGATATTAACACTACATATTAACATGTCATATTAAATTATAATACGACATGTTGAAGTGGCATAATAACATGTGGTATTTTTTACTCTTTACATGAATGTAAAGTTAATATAAATATAAAATGATAAGTGATATTTAAATTAATAACAATTAGTCAATTATTTATCTTAAAAAACTATTTGATCTAAAATAAAAAATATAATATAAGAACTTGATTGAATCTAATAAAAAGATAAAGAATTATTTAAAATTTTAAAATAATTCAAAGATTTTTTTCAAGTATGCATTATGCATAATTTTTTTAAAAAAATTTAATATAAAATACACTAAAACAAACAAGAGGAAACAAAGAAAGTATTATATATTCTCTACAGTAATGGTGTTATTTTTTAAATTCACAAAGGAATTTATAGAATTGCACTGTATCTCATATATATATATATATATATGCCTTAGCAAGTATTGCCCCGGAGACAACATATATCCCCGCAATAGTGACTTTTAAAAGGACCTAATGTCCTTCACGAGTGTGCTTTATGCCATCGTGCATTGCGGTAGCCACCATTATTATTTTAATTATGAGAGTAGAATAATTTTTCTCAAAAAAAAAATTGTAATTGGCACCCAAATGGAAGGAGGTCTTAAGTGTAATGAGTTGGTTAAAGTGGATAGCCGTTTTTTTTATTTATTTTTTCTTGTAAATAGAAAGCAAATTAGCAAAGAAAAAGCGGGCACACGTGTTTGGAGTAAAGAAAAGATGCATGGAGCCAAGCGAAAGACAAAAATGGATTGGTTCTGTACGATTTTCACATGGGGACTGCCCATAATCTAAGGGCAAAATATGATCGTGCACCTTGATGAATTTAGGTTATGCTGTTGGAATGTTGTCACCTTCCAAATCCCTATCTATTTTTCTATCACAATATTAATTTTTTAAATATAAAACGTCAGATAAATAGATTATTTAGGTTATTAAATTACGGTAAAATGTATTACATCTTATAAGATTCCAGCATTCCAAATTAATAAAAAACAAAGATTTACTCTTAAAATTCATATTTAAAATTATATATTTTCAAAATTTATGAGCTTATTAATTGAACCAACCGTTTATTAGATACAATAACATTAAGTTTTGAAGATAGGTTTCACTTTATCTAGTAGTTTTTTTAAAGTCAAATAATCTAATTGTGTTAAGTATTTTTATTTTTTTTTAAAGATACCCTTTCAATTATTGAAGCTAGCATGTGTGTTGCACTTTGTTAAAACAATATAAAATTGAAATTTGATCAATTAAGCTTAGAAGAGGTCACAAAATTTTGGGGATGTGTCTCCTGTCGTACTTGGTTAATATTTCTTTATGGCCAAAATGTCAGAGTAAGGGGTTTGATTAAAAAGAATGAGGGCCATCAACTGTCGCCTTCAGTCACCTCTCTCTATATATGGACGGGGTAAGAACAATTCGAGCGCAAGAAATAAAGGGGATAAATTAAATTAGAATACTTGTATATAATAATGATTAAGACCTTCAGTTGATTCCTCTATGTTTTGTATTTTGTGACAAATGATAAGAGAGCATAGTATATGAGAGTATTAATGGAATCCAGGCAAACCTTAAATTAAGATTTTCAATATAAATGATTAATTTGTTAGGAACTGTTAAGAACAGCCAATGTATATACATATATCTTGTTATTTAAAAAGTTGGATTCGCCTTTTATCTCAAATCTTTATATATATATATATATATATATATATGATAGAGAAATTATTTTTTAATGTCAATGAAGACCCATGATATAAGGGTCTACCCAACATATTTAATTAGTTTCTAAATTCATCAAAGCTTAGAACAAACTAACAAAAGAAAAAATTCTATAAAGTTTTGGTCGTTGGGAAAAAGTAACGTGGATGGCTTCAAATATAATGCTATAGTTTAAATGTTTGTAATTTGTATAAAATTGCATAGATATAAAAGTGTCAAACAAGCACCTTTGAAATGTTGATTATTGAGGCATTATACAAGAGTATAATAATGGCATAATGCCTTGAAAATTTAGGTGGAACTGTAGATTAATGGATTTGATTTCTATACTCTTGCTTAAAGTGTCAGATAACCTATTTAACTTACAATCATTTTACCAAAAATCTGAAAAAAAAAAAATTGAGATCGTTTAAGATGAAGGTTGTAAGAATTTTTGAGCCTTTTGACAGGAGAGAAAAGAGAGGCGTTGGAGAAAGAAGAGCAATCCAAATCAGGTCCTGATTTGTTTGATCATTCTTCTTTGAAAAAGTATTAAATACAGCATTTATCGTCCTGACATGTGTTGCAGGCAGAATGATTATGGCTTTTTTAATACATGAATTTAAAATACAAATTTGCTTTGCAGATCTATTGCCTGACATAATTATGACTACAAAGTGGGAATTAAACTGTCACCAAAGTTTGGTATTTGTAAGGTGAAGTTTGTTACAAATCTCTTTGGGTATTAGATCATGAAATCCCTTTTGTTTTTTAAAACATTTTTAGTGATTCTGATTCAGCCTGTTAGGTGGTACTGGTGGATCAAACCCACCCTTTGTAGCATCACCTACCAAATTCTATACAAACGAAAATACATTGATGCTTCAACTCATCTTCTAATTGTTTCTCTCCATCCAGGCAACCCAAACGAAAAAACATAAAGGACTTTAATTTATGATTTTTCTTTCTTAATTCCTTTGCGGGTTATCCTAATTAATGTCTTTTATATTGCTCAAATTTGAGATTGGATCTCCAATTTTGGGCAACATGGTGGGGAGGCTCTTCACCAAAAAAATGTCCCAATTAATGTTATCCCTTCACCAAAATACTTCAAATAAGAAAAGCTGCGATAGAAAGTTCCATAACTTTATAATTAACAAAATCTGTCTTCTTTTCGATGGCTTTGTTTCTTAGTGATAATGGGGAGCAAAGAGCTTTTTTTTTTTTTGGAGATCGATGTTGTCTATTCTATTTTCATGTCTAATTATCTCAAGTTTATGAGATTACAATGATTGTACCTGTTTATTGATATTAATAGATTTTATTTTTGATTCAAAAAAAGAGGGAAATGTCTCAAGATATCGGGGTAATTGTTAGAATTGGTTGTGAGTTTTCAATTTTCAAATCTTATAGAATCTTAGAAAGAGAAGGATGGCATTTATAAGATGAATAAGAGCTATCTTTTTTGTGAGTTTAATGAGCTTTCACACGTGCCAAAATCAATATATATATATATATATATATATATATATTACGAAGATGTCAGACATTTTTCGGCCCTTTAGTTATTTAGGTCCAACAACATATATAGATGACAATATATACATTTGAAAATGACAAGAAAAACTAAGATTTGCTCAATCACATGATGCATTGAGTGTTTGATTGCTACAATTCACTAGCATAGAGTAAAAACCTGTGGTCCAACAAATTGCATCTCTTGTCGATTGACTCAAATGGCAACCTCAATTATCAAGAGCCATTCAGACAGTGGGTCTATTTATTTATGATATGTCAAACTGCAAATTTCCTTTCCATCATTTTAGCCTTCAAATTTGATTTTTGTTACATTTACATTATAATATTTTATTTTTTCTATCTCCCTAAACCCTAAAAACATAAATAAATTGTATCTGACTTTTACTTTTCCAAAACAAAAATTGTATCTGATTTTTTCTTGAAAAATCTTATCAATGCATGTCCCAACGTTCTGTGTTGTAAAATCATCCGTGTGCGAGGTTTCATCCTACAACATGAATATTAGTGGTAGGTTGTTTGAATATTCCGAAGATTACATAATTTAAGTAAAGTTATGCAATTAGTCGATGTAGTATGTCAAAGTAGTGGATTTAATTATTGTATAATAATTTGTAAAATTTGAGTTTCTATACTTTTAAAAATTAATAATATCAATATAATTATTAATAATATGAAGTATATTTTATTGTTTATGTCGATATGGTATTTGCTTGTATTAACGTGGCATTGAATTTGATGATGTGTTATCCAAAAATGATATAATGATTATTGTTCAAGAATATAATTATCATATTGTTCTTGGATACCATATCATCAAATTCAATATCACGCCATCAGATTCAATATCACGTTATCATATTTATTTTCATATCAATACAATTAAATATTATATTGGTATAGATAAAGAAAAATTTTCACATTATTAATGATTGGATTGATATTATTAATGTCGAAAACTACAAAAAGTTAATTTTATGAATTATTATATAAAGATTTTATCATTTGACCTTATGGTCAAATTTAGGGATGAAGCTATCCTACTTTTGTTAGCAAGTTGAAAACAGAAGAATAAGAGTTAAAAATTTTAAAAACTAATATGTTAAATTTAACGAATAGTTAAAAAATTGATA